CAACCCTAGCTTTGTCCTTTCAGCTCATCACTCTGAGAACAAACCCAGATGCAGCAACTCAGAACAGACGATTCCAGTTCACTCAGAATCAGAAGAAAGAAGATTCTAAAACATCCACCTCAGTCACCAGCGTGAACCAAGCAAGCACATCCCGCCTAGAGGGCCTGCAGTCAGAAAACCATCGCCTGCGAATGAAAATCACAGAGGTACCTCCCACGGCAGTGCCAGGCAGCACCCCACTCTCCCATCTGAGTCCTGAGTGTAGGTGCAGGGACGCCCAGCCGCTGCTCCCCACATCTCTAGGACATCCTGCATCACAGCCGTGCAGTCCGCCTGCTGTCATTATGGCTGCAAGAACCAGGGGAACATGAACTAGAAGGAGGTCGTTAGTCAGAATCCGGCAGGAGTTTGTTGCCCACCTGGCCCAGGCTCTGGGGGTCCAGCAAAGCCCCGATTCAAGATGTGCCCAGAAAGAAAGGCGTTCTTAGATATTTGTGAACTCCCAGGTTATAGTCATGAGTGGAAAAAATTCAGTTTTCTGACTCCTATATGTCTCCTTCACTTCTGATTCTTCTGGTCACCAAACGTGAGGAGGTTGTTCCCATTACCAAGCAATTCTCTGTGACACCAGTCTGTTTTCAGCCCTTCTCCCTTCTCAAGAGAATAGGGACTAGGGCTGGAAATTCCAAGCTTCTAATCATGGCTCGTTCTTTCTGGTGACCAGCCCTCATCCAGGAGCCCACTCAGAGTCACCTCATTAGGACAAAAGACACTCCTATCACCCAAGAAATTATAAGGGTTTCAGGAGCCCTGTGTCAGGAACGGGGTGGGGGCGGGGAGCAGCCAATAATTTCCTATTATTTCACAAGTGGCTTCCTAACTGTGTGCCCCCTCAATTTTTTCCTCTCCCAATACAACCCAGTAATGACCCACATCTGTATGATGTACCTCAAGAGAGGAAAAGGTGAGGAGAAACTTGTCAGGAGAGAGAGTTTGCTGCAGCAGACCTCACTTTTCTCCTGAAGGTGCTTAACTGGTTCTTGAGTATTTCAGAGAGGCCATAACCGGATTCCTCTGTTCCCAGGTCAGACCTCAAATTCTGGACTTTGTATACCAGGAAAAGGAAACAAATCACCTTCCCTTTCTCCACCCCTCCCTTTGGGTCAAGGATTGTGACTGGGCCCATCGCACTTGGGCTACGTGTTTAATAGATGAGTTCTTATTTGATGAGACAGGAAAGGAACAAAGGAGTGTGTGTTGGTTAGGATACTGGCTAAGTTGCTGTAACAAAGAAGCCTCAAAATAAAGTGGCCCAAAGAAAATATACATTTATTTCTCTCTCACCTAATGGTCCTAAGGAGAGAGGTCCAAATTGGCAGGCAGCTCTGTTCCCCAAGGTCATTGCCAGATGAGATCCCTTCACTCTTGTTTGCTACTCTCCAAGGCGTTCGTTTTCCTCAGCGGTACAGTTAAAGCTGAGTTAAAGGCTTGTCCAGTTCTCAGTCTCAGGAACAAGAAAGAATGAAAGTCCATACCCGAGATTGCCTTTTAAGCAAGTGATACAAAATTGTACACATTTTGGTTTACTCCAGTTACATTGGCAAGAACTTACACATCACACTTAGCCACGGGGAGGCTGGGAAATGTAGTCCCTAGCTCACAGTCGCAAGGAAAAAGTGAGATGTAGGGTTGTCAGATTAGATAAAGGATGCCCAGCTAAATTTTAATTTCAGACAAACAACCAAGCCTATTTTTAGTGTAAATATATTCCGTACGATATTTGGGTTATACTAAAAGATGATTCCTTGTTATTTGAAATTCAAATGTGACTGAGCATTCTATGTTTTTAGTTGCTAGATCTGCCAGCCTCAACGGAGGGGGGCTCCCAATAGTCTACCACAAAGACCCTCTATACAGTTGTGTGTGCATGTAAAGCTGGCTGCTTTAGCATGGGGCATTCCATCAGCCACTGGAGCCAAGTGGGAAAGGTTTCTGTCCCTAAAAGCCCACCGCAGGTTCTGTTTTAATGTCAGACCTCTCTGTGACTAGTAACGCCACATCTCTGTGCCTTGACATTTGACTTCTACATGCACACTCCAGCAATGAAGAGTTAACTCACTTTGTCTAGGAAACCGAATATCCAAACTACTGTCAAAACTCCTAAAATATTACATTGTTTTTCCTGGAATTAAATCACGATCCAACCTCCTGTTACTTCCACCCTTTGATCCTAGCCCTGCTGTTTGAATCACACAGGAAAAGGTATCTCTCTCCTCCTCCATGTGAAAACTTATTAAACAATTTATGGCTATACTCTTGACATCGGAACTGTAGTTTACAGTTTATAACGTACCCTCCCTGATACTGTAGTACGATGCCCACTCTACTCTTCCCAACTACCATCCACTCCCCAACACACACACAGTCCCCAGGCTTCTCAGGGCTGAACTGTCCAGGGTTTGTATCTGATTTTTACATAACCTGGGGGCAACTGGGACCCATCACGACCAACTCCCCTGAAGAATCCCCTACTAGGCTGAGTCTCCGTGACAGTGTGAGGGTCAGAGCTGGCCAGCCCTGCAGATCTGTCCTCCCTGCCCCACAGGGTCCTGCTACTTATCAATAATAATAATTACAGTAATATTATTATAGTAGCAGCTTACTCTTATTATGTGTCAAGCCCTGGGCTAAACTTTTATTATATTATCTCATTTAATCTTCAGAAGAATCCCATAAGGTAGGTTCTGTTATTAACCCATTCTACAGATGAATGAATTGAGACTCAGTTCTCATCAGCCAGTAAGGAGCAGCCCTGGGTTTGTTCCTAGGCCGGTCCAGCCTCAGAGCCTGCACTATGACACTCTCCCACCCTGCCTCCCTGGGCTTGCTTGGTGGCCCCATCAAGGTACAAGACTGCACTGGATGCATCATTGCAAATCCCAGGCCCCTCTTACCACAGCTTCTCCCAGAACAAGAACTGACGGGGCCTTCTGTGTCTCTTCTCTGACACGCAGCAGCCCCTCTAGCCTTCAGTGCCCTCCCAAAGCCAGCCCGAGACCCAGCCCTGTGACCCTGTGAGCTGCTGCTTGGCTCCCATGGCCTGGCTGCCAGGGCCGGGCCAGGGGCTCTGACTCAGCTGGAGCCTTTGTCTTCTAGCTGGATAAAGACTTGGAAGAGGTCACCATGCAGCTGCAGGACACACCAGAAAAGACCACCTACATTAAACAGAACCACTACCAAGAGCTCAATGACATCCTCAACCTGGGGAATTTCACTGAGAGCACAGGTAAGAGGGGGCAGGGCCCCTGGAACATGGGTCCCTGGGTATCAGACACCAGCCATCCACCTTCCATTTTACAGGTGAAGAAACTGAAGCTTAAAGAGGGAGCAGGGCTTATCTGAAGTCACACAGGCAGAGCTAGAGCATCTGAACCTACCTTCTGACCACAGTTCGGTGTCCATCTGGAACCCCACTTTGCCTAGAGCTGGGGCTTCAGTTTCTCAGTCGCTTGGGCTCCGGCTGCACTTGTGCACAGTGTAGCCAGCATTCCCAGTGTTCTGACTGGGAGTATATTGCTCTTAACAGAGAGTTTACCTGTACTTCTCCCAACAACATTTCTCGGTTTCAAATGCACCTCATCAATGTACAGGAAAGGAATGGTTAGTGGGATATGACATGACCTTCAGTCTCCTCAACCACCTGGGAAATGCAAGCTGAAGTAACACAAGCCATTTTTTGCCTACATTTCAGAAACATTTTTAAAGAGCACCAGTGTTGGTAAGAGTGTGTGGAAATGAGCATCCTCCTGCAATGGTTTGGAAGCCAATCTGGCACCCTCCAAACGTTAGATGTTCAACCTCTTAACCTAGCAATTCCATTAAGGGCTGTCTGTCCCTTGGATATATTCCCACGTGGGCAGAGATGTAGACACATGCTGTTCTTCACAACATTATTTTTAGGGGAGGAAAACTGGAATAAACTTAAATATCCATCATTTGGGATAGTTTTATTAACTATGATACAGCTAAACACGACACATAATACAGCTCTTAAAAAATGAGGTGGATCTATTGTGTAGATATGGCAAGATCTCCAAGTGAAAAAGCAAGATGAAGACCAGCATTATGATCCATATAAATGCACATGTGTGTGTAAGTGCATTTCTAAAAAGATTTGGAAGAACAAACACAAAATTGTTAATAGTATCTACCTGCATGGAAGGGGACCAGTGCAGTGCAGAGGGTGGGTGAGAAGGGACTCTTTTACATTTCATTTTATGTACCTTTCTATTTTCTGCATTTTGTCATCAGCATATATTCATTAATTTGTTATAAAATTATTTCAAGTCAATAAAATTTTTTTATTTCTTTTATTCTTATATAGTTAATAAGTATTCTTATAAAAGCAATGTTATAAACTTATATAAGACATTGATTATTAAAAATGTTTAAACTGAGATAAGTAACAAGGAAATTGAAAAATTACTATTCCTAGTAATTTTAGTATCTGGGAAAGTTGGGTATTTCAAATTTGCATGGGGAAAATGAATTATTCAATAAATTTCATTGGGATAAATGGACCATCTAGAAAAGAATAAAGTTAGATCCTTGCCTCATACCTTATGCAAAAATAAACTCCAAATAGGTAAAATATTTAAATATAAAAAATAAAGCCATGAAGAAAGCATACGAGAATTTATTTTATAATCTCAGAGGAAGAAAAGCCTTTTTCAGTTTGATGCAAAATACAGAAACCACACACACACAAAAAAAAGGGTGATAAATTGAACTACGAAAGAAAAATATTTTACAATGCAAAAGCCATCACAAGTACAGTCAAAAAACTAAACAACAGTGTAAGCCAAAAATTGTTATAACTCAGATAACACTTATTCCCTTAAACATAAGGAGAAATCATATGTAATTCTAAGCAAAGTACATATAATTATGCAAATACATATGAATATGCAAATTAACAAGGAGAAAACCAACAACCCAAACGAAAAATGGTCAAAAAGTTCTCATAAAAGGAAATACAGGTCATTCTTACACTTATGAAAAGATGTTCAACCTCACTCCTTATTAAAGGAGTTTGAATTAAATTTGCAATGAGATATCATTTTCGCCTATAAAACTGGCAAAGACCAGAGATGAAAAAGTTGCTTCGAGTGTGAGCAAACAGGTGGGGAAATGGGCATTCTCAAGTAACTCTTGTTATTCACGGTAATTATGTGTCGTAATGTCACTGAGAACCGTGAATTCATGAGTCCTGAACCATCATTCCTGGGGGAAATACAGGGTTAGGTTCCTGCAAGCCTCTTGCAGGTTGATATTTCTGTCAGCCGATCAAATACATAACTTGGTTTTATGTGTGTTTCTGTTCAAAGGCACCTTATTTAATATATTTTTTTTGATTCATTAGTATCGAACTCTCAGCCAACAGCTCTATCACTTATGCCTGGATGAAGTTTATTTTAAAACACATACTTTCTCCTTCAGACACATCACAACCTAGACAGCACTTCAGCACTACTCTTGGGGCCCATTTTAAACAGTGGAATCATCAACACAAAGCACAAAAATGTGAAAAACATGGCCCTAAATAGACTGCAAAAGGAGCTGGAACAAGAAGGCTGACTGTCACCTTCTTCGACCTCAGCTGGGAATGTGCATGTTGGGCGATTCAAATTTTTTGACACTCTGTATGTGTCAACCAATGACCACGAAAGCATGACAAGTATTAATTTGGGGGTTACACATAAATTTTAGCAAGTAAGCAAGTTTATAAATGCTGAATTCATAAATAAGGAAGACCGATTTTACTCACATGGGTGCAAAATGACTCATATCAAGTTACCCACCTCAAAGGAAAAAAAATGAAAAGGGAACAGCGCTCCTCTCTAAAGCAAATAAATCCAAATCTGTCAGGCAGGGGCCAGGTTTTTATATTTTATATTTCTTTACATCCCCCATGTGGTCCGAAGCACAAGGGGGGCTGAGAACATCTGTTTCATCATGTTCTGTGGCTACACTCTGTTTCTCAGACTTACCTGTTAGTATGTAAGTAATCCCTTATTACTGGATAAATTAGGGTTCTAACTTTTTGCTTTTGTAAACAATGCCGATTTAAACATCTTGCATGTATCTTCACACACATCTTGAATCATTTCCTTAGGAAAATTCCTAGAAGTGGCAATTCTGAGTAAAAGATACACACTTTCTGTAGTGTTTGATCCTTATTGACAGCAACCCCCCAAAGATTATGCCAATTTATACTCCCATCAGCTATTATTATTGTTCTTTTCAATTCTTAGCAGTCATGTGCAAAATATGCCTTGGAGGGTTTTTTAATTCGTCATTATATTTCTATGCACCAGTAAAAAGGGCCTTTAGATTAGAACCTCTCATTTCTAATTTATGCTGCCTAACTCAGTTGACTTTTTTTCTGTTATTCTTGGAGAAAAGGAGGGTGCAGGGCACGGCGTACACAACCCCAGCATGGCACACCACTTCCATCGCTGGGTGGAGGCATCTCAGCTCCTTGCCTTGGTTCCAGGACAGCTGCTGGAGAGATCTGGGCTTGGAGAATGCAGAGGAATGCTGGGATCTTTTGCATTCTCTCTCCTTAGGAAGCATCCTAAAAAGATTGCATTGTTGATTTTTAAAAATCAAGTTAATAGAATGTGTTGTGATATTGTTGTTTTGCATTCAGATGGGGGAAAGGCCATTTTAAAAAATCACCTCGATCAAAATCCCCAGCTACAGTGGAATACAACAGAGCCCTCCCGAACATGCAAAGATCCTATAGAAGATATAAACTCCCCAGAACAGTAAGTACCTTCTCCGAGAATTACTGCCAAAGAGTATATGACAGTTTACAATTTGCACAATGTTTCCATATGCATTATTTTGTTTGAACGCCACAGCAATCCCATGATGCAGGTCAAATGACAATGCTCATTTTACAGATGAGAAAACTAATATTCAAAAGAGGGAGATGACTTGTCAGAGCTCACCCAAGCGCCAAGTGCAGGAGATGGGATTTGAACTTGGGTCTGTCCAATATCAAATCCCATGTTCTCCACTATTGCACACTGCTTTTGTTATGTATAAAATTTCACCTTGCTATGTGCATTTATTTAACTATGGCTTATTGAGACCTACTGTGTGTCAGACACAGCAGTGAGGGAAACGGACAAAAATCCCTCCCTTCATGGAGTTTGCAATCTATCTGGTGAGACAATAATTTTTAAAAGCAAAACCTAGTATGTTAAATGATAGGTACTTTGGAGAAAAATAGAGTTTAAGAGGGGCTTAGGAAGTATAATTTTAAATAGAGTGGTCGGAGAAGACTCAATGAGAAGGTGACATCTAAGCAAAGACCTAGACATCTCAGTTTGCTTTGTTCCACCGGCAGTTTTTAGTTCTTCCCAGCTCAACAGCAGATTGGAAGCAGAGATTAGAAACGTCAGCTCTGCAGGCCGGCTCCTGGGAAGTGACAAGTGGTAAGGAACCAACAAAAACAGCTGAATCACCAACAGCGATGTCATTTGGGGCCACTTAATGTTAGAGCTGATAGCCTCTCAACCCAATTAGCTCCAAGGCCTCCCCCGGCTTATAGTCCAGAACAATTACTGATGGTTACATGGCATTTGTCAGTGGTTTACCTATCAGATCCCTCCCCTAGGCTGTAAGCACCTTGATGGTTAAGATATGAGTCCTTTATATGGACTGAATACAGATTTCAGCACTGATGGGTCCTTGGCAAGCGTCTATTGAATAAATGAGAAGATAAACAGGATCCCGCCAGACAGCAGAATGCCGTGGCACTGAAAACCACAAATGCTCACCTCGCCCAGGCAGACTTTCCCAGGTACTCAGACAGGGCACCCTTTCCCAGGTCAGAGTTTATTCTTCAGCTCCCCTTTTCCTGGGCTCTTTGTAAATACCATCTTGCCTTAAGGAATAGATCATAGCTGACATTACGTAAGTTCAACTTTAATTTCAAAATGAGATCTCCAACACTCTTATCTCATGAGCACCAGTGAAGTATCTCTTGGGAGAAGTCCTTCTGGCCAACAGGTTCTTAGGGAGTGGGAGCAGTACTGCATCGGTCCTCACTTATCTCAGAACCCCATCAATGTCCTACATATACTCCAGGGCACACCCTTTTGGGAGGAGGATGCCCCCATATATGGATGGGCCTCTCCCACAAAGCTCTGTGGCTTAACAGAAGAAGCCAGAGTCCCACCTTCTCAGTTTTGGCTTTGTTTCCGTGAGCAAGTTACATCAACTTTGTACCCTTCTCTAGTCTTTATAATGGGAAGAGCAATACTATTTTTACCTACTGGGTTTTTATGAAGATCTGGGTTGTTTTCTTACCTGAGACATAAGAAGGCCTAAGAATACAGGGAATGCAACTTCCCAGATGCCATGGAGAACTGCACAAAGTGCAGCTGAGCAGAGCCGGGGGGCAGCGGCCTGGGCATGTTCCCCCAGAGCAGCCTTTCCGGCTGCTAGTCACCTAAAAAGCCAAAAGACCCGAAGGAACCTATTGGAATTGGCCCAGCAAGAAGGGCTGAGGTCCTGGGCAAGGAAGGGACAGCAGAGTCAGTGGGGAAGGACAGGGAAGCTGAGAAGCCTTCCAGGGATGGAACTCAATGCCAAGTCCATGTGGAGGCCCGCAAGGGCAGGAGATGAGAACTGTCGGTGTTTGCAGCAAAGCCCTGTTGGAAAGGAGTCACCGAAAGCTCAAGAAGCATCCTCCTTGCTTATTGCCTCCCTGGTTATTCCCAGGGCAGTAGTTGGCAGATGTAGGCCTACATTAAATACCTACTAGATGGGTGAGTGGTTATATGATGGGATGGACAGATCTTGGATTCAGAGAAAACTCTGCTCCTACCATCAGCCTCTTGGCTAAAGCAAGTCCAAGAAACTTTCTGGTGAGCAGGCAGATACCCTTCATTAACACCCCTCCCTCTCTCTGTCTCTCCCTGCTACAGCATCCAGCGCCGGCTGTCCCTACAGCTCCCCATCCTCCACCACGCCTACCTCCCGTCCATTGGAGGCGTGGACGCCAGCTGTGTCAGCCCCTGTGTCAGCCCCACCGCCAGCCCCCGTCACAGACATGTGCCACCCTCCTTCCGAGTTATGGTCTCGGGCCTGTAAGGGTGGGAGGCCTGGGGCCGGGGCCTCCCCCATGACAGAACCACATGGAGCAGAGGCATCTGCTACAGGAACACTGTCGGCTGTGGCTGCAGAGAAGCTGGGCGCCACGGCTGGCTTTGTGGGACTGCTCAAATGGCACTCAGGCGGACAGAATGGGGGGCACTTGGCACCTGACCTTGCGCCTTATTTGGGAAGTTTTTATTCTTTCACAAAGAAGAGGAATGGAAATGACTTCTTCCTTAATGTCTGAAAACAAGGAATTGGGATATTTGAAACTGCAAAAAAAAAAAATCCTAGACAAGGAGAGAGTCACTAAAACTCCAGCTAGAAGTCACTGAACAGCCTTGGGAAGAGGTGAGGGGCTTCCGGAGAAACCACCTCTGCCTCTGCACACGCATCGCTGGCTGTGGCCCCCCAGGCCAGCCCTTCTCCCCTGTGGGGAAGGAGGTGGGCAGGGCAGCCAGGCCCCCAGTTGCCAGTCCAGCCAACCCTGGCCTTCCTGGAACAGGGAGCCTGCAGGAAGGGCAGCCAGGTGCAGCTCTGCGGCAGGTGGCCGAGAGCTGGGAGCAGGCTGACTCGCATGCCTCCCAGTGGGACCTTACTCTCTGATAAATGCCACACATTAACACAATAACACCCGTTCTGGACTGTGGGGATTTAGGGCACGTCACTGCAGACACGCTCTGCAGCATTCACCGACAGTCGGTCATGCACCCACCACACTGGCCATGTCCTTGTGTTTGTACCAGGTGTTCCCGGTAATAAGGGGGGCCACCTGAGCTAATCATGGAATGTCTGTTCCCAGCATACACAAAAAAAAAAAGAAAGACTGTGCACTTTAACCTCTCTCATCAGGGCCCAAGGGCTGGCCAGGTTGTTTGGGTTTTTTTTCCCCCCCCCACTAACTTTGTTTCTGACCAAAGTGAAGCAGGGGCATTCTTCTAGAAGACATCCCTGTAGTCGTAGGGGAAGGAGTTGCTAGCTGAGGGCTTCCTGAGGCTTCCAGAAGGTAGCCTTCCATCCAGACAAGCTGGTGAGCTCTGCCCTTGGGGGTCACGGAAGTGATCAGTCAGCACACTGATTCTTGTTCATAAGATCACTCTTCCTTTTTAATTGAACCCCATAGAGCACTGGCCTAGGAGTCAGAGAGACCTGAGTTCAAGTCCTCACTCCACTGCTGACTCCCTTCATGACCTTGGGCAAGTCACTGGTGTCTCTCTGAGCCTCAGTTTCCCCTCTCTAACAAATAGGGGTTGAAATAACACCCATCCTGCCTACCTCACAGGGTCATTCTGAGGATCAAAATTTGATCTAATCCAGGAAAGCTTCATAACCAAACAGTGAAGCGGCCCTGACCTGTGAGGTACCAAGATGACCACGACCTTCAGCCCTCGTGACAGCCAGGGGTGTGGCCTAGAGACGCTCCCAGCATAGCCCTCTACCAGGATCAGCCCCGCTGGAAAGAGGCTCCCTCTGACTTTTGTGACATTCCTAGACAGGTTCATTCTTTGCTAAAGAAAGGCCTGAATGACAACGTCCAGGACGTCTGCACAACTGAGCAGTTGCTCGCTCCCTAAAGAAACCTAATGGCAGCTTCAACCGGCAGGCAATAATCTCTTCCCAGACCACTGAAGTCAGGAATATACCGCTGTCACCACCAGGCTTTGACAAAAGGGCCCACGGGAATCTTACCATCGCCAACATTTCGAAATACCCTATTTCACGTAGCGTAGCTTTCCTCTCCCCTCCCCCAAAGAGAGGTTATGGAGGTAATGTAGCTTTTAGGGGAAAAAAAAATGTTAACACATCACAGGTCAAGTTGAAGTCATTGTCTGTTTAGGCACTAAAAATCGGTGTTGTCGCTCACTGTGTATTACCAGTATTTACTTGCTTTCTTGATTTCACCAAAATCAGATTTAATTTAAAGGGCCACGTTAATTTTTCAAAGGGAAAGATACAATTCATTGTACATAATGTATACACACACACACACACACAAAATACCTGTAGAAATATTATTCCAGCATAGCAGGAAAAAAAAGAAACAAAAGTATTGGACAGTCGGAGGTGAGTGTACGTCCGTAACCCATTGTGACTCCTGAACGCGCACAGTCTTCTAGGTTAACCCACAAAGTACATTCTCTGTCTTAATGATACTGTAGGTTCACCCATTTTTTTTAATTTCCCTGCAAATAACAAGACCCACAGAAGTGACTCTAGCTATTTAACGGTCTGTTCTTTTATATGCAGCAAACACACCGTACATTTCCGAAAAGGCTTCAGCCTGAAGGCGTTCTCCAATGATGTTAGTGCACAAACGCTTTAAATTAGACTGGAACTGCCAGAATCAAATGTAAATGAGGAATTTCTCATACCCCTATTGCATGGTATCGATTTTTAATAAATTGTTGCAAATTTGTTTTTATGAATAAAAGGAAAAACACTCTCGTCTTGAATGCCTACACATAA